AAAAAAATCTTAAGACCAAAAGAGTCTGAAAGAGTGAAATAATGCACCCTCATTTAAACCCTCATTAAATACTTGGCTCTGATTTTAACCTCAGCTGGTAAAGATGATGGGGAGGGGGCAAAAATAGATAAAAATAATGGGAGAAAGACTGTGCTGTATCTGTGTTTGATTTTTCTTCTTTTCACAATACAGAATCCATAGTTTTGAAGGATTGTACAGAGAAAAGAACATGAAATAGCAATTGCCTTGCAAGGAGAGAATACATTGAGGAACCTTTTCTACGAAAAGCATCAGTTGGTGAAATTACAAATGGAATCTACAACATATCATTCCGAAAAAGCAGGAACAAAGAAAGAAAACAGTAGAAAACAGATTGGTTTGACCTCAGAAATATTATCAACATCTTGCAGAAGCCGAAATAAATCTCTAAAGCAGAATACAATAATAAAGGCATCCTTTGTACTGCTGAAAAACATTAACCGTGGAAGGAAAGAAAAGCATGATTATTATTTAACGGCTCCACGTGGAAAGCAGTTGGCACCACCAACACAGCACAAGAAGTTTCCAGCTTTTAGAAAACTGCAAGTCGCACTGTATGACATATTGGATAAAAATTGTGTTGCCACGCTAAAGAAGTCCTTTCAAATTTCAAATGTTGGAGCATTGGTAGAAAAGGAAAAAAAGGACACAACAGAGAGGGGCACCACAGAGGTAGATAACTCTATGGAAGTAGGGGAATTTTCTGGAGAATTGGACCCTGGGCAAACAAATTCAGATTGTGACCTTAGAAAATCAATTAGCAGAATGATCTTGACTGATAAAAAATCTCATGAAGGAGACAGATGCCAGGTATCTGAACGTCTCTCATCATTTTCAGAAATCAATCTTAAATTAGACCTACAGACTCTAATGTTGAACAAGAGTGAAATTAAGCTGCCAATAAAGGAAATGATGGGTCTCAGTCTGAACACATTAACTGAAAAGGTCCGTGAAGATCAAACGACCCTGGAAGAGGAGGAAAGTAATACCAGGAATAGCAGTAAAAATACAGAGAGATTTTGGTTCCTGCTAAAAAACAATGAAATTCGATATGATGACGCTCCGGTGTGTGTAGCTGATGAAAAAATGGCTGGAGATTTGGTTTGTAGAGATGATGGCCTTTCAGATCACAGTGCTGAATGTTTACTATCAGATGGGAATTTAGCAAATCAGACATATCCAGATGAAAATGATGGAGCCTTCATACACACTGAGATCAAAAAAGCAACAATGTCAGTTGAAGACCAGGAAGTCAGTTTCTTCAATGATGAAAAAGAAAATATGTTATTCAACTTTTTTATTTTTCTTTAAAAAAAAAACACAAATATGTCATCATTTGTCAATCATTAAGACATT